TTATGGTATGTTTAGTATTACGAATGGTGCTTGAGTAGACATTTTATTCATTTACCGCCAGCAGCACATTTGTTCCTCAGTCTAAGCCTGAAGTGTTGTCTGATAGTTCAGCCAAGTTAAACACTGTCAAGACTAAAAGTCGTCATCAGGCTCCAGCAGGCAAGTAAGCAAATCACTGTCTGTGACACTGTCTGCTACAGTACGCTGCACCCATAAATCTGCTGTTTGAAAGGCAGACTGCCTCATTTGAATGTAGTCTGCAGGAGTCAGCAGTCTGACCAGAGTTTTCAATATGCTGTTGTCAATACAGCTGTCTGGGAAAAAAGATACACTGAGACATGTTGAGACAAAATGCTGAAAGTCAAACACCTTATATATGGCAGCCACTTTGCTTATATGTGCTGATTATTATTAATCTTTTAGGAGGCATTCATAGAGTCATGGTTCATAACAGTTATCAGTGAGGAAAGGATTTACCACAGGAAGCAGGATGATGTGAAAGTTCGGAGCCTGTTTCCTGAGTGAAACCGTGTAAAGAGGAAGTACTGTATGCAAAATGTGGTGCTACTTTGCAGGAGCATGTGGAGTAACATGATCGCTGTGCCAACAACCAGACAAACATCTGCCACTGTGTTTCAACACATTCTTCTTCAGCAAACCTGGAATCTGCAGGGAAGGAGTTCAGAGGAAAATGTCAATGTAAATCACCAGAGGTATGACACATGACTTTGACTTGAGTCAGACTCCAGTCGCACATTTGATGACTTTAGACTTGACAAAATCAAAGAAGACTTGCAACTCAACTTGGACTTAAACTGCACAGACTCGTGACTTCACTTGGACTTGAGCCTCTTGACTTGAGAATACTTGACACCTTCCCCTAAGCCCAAAGATTTAAAATTATTATATGCTATTTAACAGACACTTAATTCCCCAAATCCACCAGCAACCAATCAAGTTGCAGGAGAGGACCGTGACATTAAGTTATTAAGCATCAGTTGGAAAAAATTACATCAAAGATCTTTTCGTTTAGTACAAACACTACATGGCGGTCAACAAAAAACGAACTGCAGTAAGCAAAACATGCAGGTCTAAAATTACAGACAACTTCCAACTTCATTTGACTTTCAAAGTGGCACAAAGAACAAAACATCAAGGCTTATATTAACATAGTGAGCTAATGCTTAGCCAACATTAGCTCAACAGCTAAATAGCTTTTCAACAAACTTGTTTTAACAGATAAGTACAAATTTTAAAAAGCGTGCATGCTTTGTTGTAAATTAAATATGTTATTACTTTGTTGTTAAAATGGCTTTACAATTGGTGAAGAGCACATTATGACTTGTCTAGGACTTGAAACTCGAAGTTTATGACTTGGAACTTGAATACAAAGACTTAAGATTAACTGGGAACTTGCAGAACAATGACTCTGTCCCACCTCTGTAATCACTGGGGTTGTACATTATATTACTTTGCACACCAGTTTAAAGCTCTACTTGCTATCAGTGTCTCCAGTAGAGGGTGCTGTTGCACCAGACTTATGAGGTCTACAGTGTGAAAGAAAACATTGTTACTTGACAGAGTGGCAGATAATCACAAACACAACTGTCTCCCTCAGCTTTAACCTGAGCAGTTTGTTTATGCAAGTCTGCTCTATTACACACATCCTGCATGCTTAGAGCGATCTCTTTTTCTTCTCGTTTTTTACTCCTCATTAAAATTGTAAATTATGATTAGTTTGTTTTGTTCTATCGACAAAAATATCCGTCTTTGATAGCGTTTCAACATATTGCCCTCTGAGGCGAGATGAGCTACAGCCAAACTGCTCTGACTGCTTCACTGCCTGGAGGCTAATGATAGCAGATTAAGCTGTCGGCAGGAGTTCAGCACTGCGCAGCTGGGACATGTTTTTGTGTGTGTTACGGTAACTTTTGCTGTGGCCCCATCTGACACTGTCATGTTTGTTTCCTTTGTATCTTTTCTTACACTGTTGCTGATGTCACAGATCCTGACTGACTTTTCAACAACAGACCTCAGGTTTCTGATAAAGGAAATTAAACTTGTGTGGTTTAGGTGTGGTAAAAGATAAGAGCTCTTTGGTAAACAGTGTAAGAGGTTAAAATCTCTGCACATTAAAGGCTTTTGACTACCTGCACTGGAGGAACCTGCTCTGAGAAAATATCACTGCTTGTGTACGAGTCTGAGTGACTCAAAAGAGAGATTACTGTAATTAGCTTTAGGTGCTTTCCTACCGTTTGGAAGGGATGAATTACTCACAATCAAAACAGCCTGAGGACTTGTGTCTATGCCTGGTTAATAGCTTGATGTTGGTGACTGTGACTGGAGTAGTAAGCTGCAGGATTATGGTTTACCTTAAGTTTATTTTGTCATGTCAGCAACGTATACTGACTTTTACTTTGACACTTTCTGATTCTGATAAGTCCAGAATTACTACATAATAGACGTATTGTATAACTGTGGTCGGAGTAGGACTCACAACAGGGATTTACGCGAACCAAATTAAGTACAGTTTGTAAAAAAAAATGTCAAAAAGTATTGGAGATTCAATCCTCACAACATCATGGAAGGGTTACTGAAAGGGCCTACGAGGCACAGGCTGCAAAATTTCACTCAAATGGACACATGCCGACCAGGAAGAGACTCAAATGACCACGAAGCAACAAGACACAACTACAAGGAGATGGAAAAGCTGCAAAGAGACTCACAGAGACTATGAAAAGGGGCAAAACAATCACAAAGAGACAAAAAATGAACACAAAGAGACTCAAAATGACCACAAAGAGGCACAAATGACGCCACAGAGATGGAAAAAAACTACAAAGAGATGCAAAATGACCGCAAAGACGCACAAATGACTTCATAGAAATGAAAAGTAGCTACAAAGAGACTCTAAATGACCACAAAGAGGCACAACTGACTTCATAGAGATGGAAAGAAACTACAAAGAGGCTCAAAATGACCACAAAGAGGCACAAATGACTTCGTAGAGATGGAAAGAAACTACAAAGAGACTCAAAATGACCTCAAAGAGGCACAAATGACTTGGTAGAGATGGAAAGCAACTACTGAGAGACTCAAAATGACCACAAAGAGACACAACTGACTTCACAAAGATGGAAAGCAACTACTGAGAGACTCAAAATGACCACAAAGAGACACAACTGACTTCACAAAGATGGAAAGCAACTACAAAGAGACTCAAAATGACCACAAAGAGGCACAAATGACTTCATAGAGATGGAAAACAACTACAAAGAGACTCAGATTGACCACACAGAGGCACAAATGACTTCACAGAGATGGAAAGCAATTACAAAGAGACACAAAATGACCATAAAGAGGCACAAATGACTTCGTAGAGACAGAAAGCAACTACTAAGAGACACTAAATGACCACAAAGAGACACAACTGACTTCATAGAGATAGAAAGCAATTACAAAGAGACTTAAAATGACCACAAAAAGGGGCAAAACAACCAACACAAAAAAACTACAAAGCGAAACAAAACCAACCAACCAACCAACCTTTGTAACGATGAAGAGATGCAAAAAAAAAGAGGCTAAACAACTATAAAGTCTGTGTGTCTCACTCCTTTGGAGGAGAGGTGGTGGAGCCTTTTGCATGTCGGTTCCCAGAGGCCCACTGTCTCATTATACACCCATGCACAACACTGAATACTTTATTTAACTAAAGGTAATGTAATCTAATAAATCTTAGTAAGAGTAAAATCTTGCCCCTTTAAATGATGTTGGATGGGATCTTTACAAAAATCTTAAAAAGGCCGAAAGGTCAAACCCAAACTAAGTTGAAAAACTGAGAGAATTTGTGCTTTGTAAAAGATGTCAACTTTAAATACATTTAAATATCATACTTAAATAAAAAAAACATCAAAAAAATGACCCAGTTAAAAAAAAGAAACCAAAAGTACATGAAAAAGCTCCTCAGTGACAATAACAGGACTAAATGAAGTTGTGTTCTTTCACCTCTTTGCCACTCACTTTGGAATGAAGCCAAAAAAATCAAATAAATTAGCTCAGCGGAGCTTTGAGCTCGGTGAGGGTTTTACAGCCTTTATGTAGCAGCTTGTCTCTGTGGGATTTGTCCTGACAGGGGAGGGAGCAGGGTCATGGTTTCCATCCTCAGAGGACAAGACCAAACAGTGAAGGTTAAGTCCATTTTACTTTCATTTGTGTAAAGAGCTAAAGCTATGTATTTATAGAGCCCTCAATGTATTTAGTTTCCATCTGCTCATTTCTCTTCTTGTACAAATAAGGTATGACAAAGAACAAACACTCAGTAGATGTGAGAATGTATTTTGAAAAATATAAATTAAATACAGTATTAGCATGATATTAATGAGTGTCCTCTGATGCTGACCCAGATGACTGATCCTACTATTTTATCAGCAGTGATTGGCAGTTGTCAGCCTCCCTCTGGTTGCTGGTTTCTGACTTTGTTCTGAATTTGACTAGACATCACTAGTACATATAAAGACACAAATACAAATAATATAAAAGAAAAATAAAATTTTATTTGATCACATTTTACAGAGATTTCTTTTTTCTTTCACAATGACTGTAGAAATGCAGTGGTGGAAGTAGTATTAACATTATTTAACACAGTATAAAAATACTCTGTAAAATTCTGACCACAAAAGTTTTACTTGTAGTAAAGTACAGACATATTAGCAACAAAATACACAGAAAGTATTAAAGTAAAAGTCATAATGCAGAATGGCCCCTGTTAATCCTGGCTAATTATCATAATCGATGCAATGACGTGTAAACGGCACTTAAATGTTGCAGACAGTTGAAGTGGAGCTTCACATACAACACACTGTTAGGTGGTTTAATCTATAACAATGCACCATATTTTATAAACTGATCACATGTTTTGTGCGTTTAATCTTAATCTGTAAAGTAGCAGCAGTGGAAGTAGAAGTAGAAGTAGTATAAAATGGAAGGTCCAAGTACCTCTGAATGATCACAGCCATTAAAGAAACACAACCATAAGGGGTTCCTGTATGACACAAGCTCTTGAAACACCAACTGTCTCAGTAAGTTGCTTTCTGCTTGTTTCGTTTCACCCTCGACTGCAGCCAAATCAGGATTCTCTTCACTTTGGGATGAGCACATATGGGCTTCCTCATGTCCCTTACGTACAGCCTGTGGACACACAAGAAACGGAAAGTATGCAAAAAGGACTTACAAAGCATTTTGTAAATACAAAATCACTGTGATCATTGAGCTTATTGTTGATGTTTACAACTTACAACAGTGCAGAGATGTCACAGGCGCCGCTGCTTTGCTGCACAGTCCACCTCTGGACCTTCTGCAGCACGGGGACAGGGATGTCCCTCTTTGTTGTGATGCAGCATTTTGGGATGCCAGCTGCAACGTGGGATTAATATCCATTATTAGATTGTCAGAAAGGGTAAAAAATAGAATAACAGATTTTGATTTAGATTTGTTAAAGATGAATTGAGTCTTTGTGCTATCAGTGTCACTCAGTCAATTTAAATCTCCAAAAAGAAGCCATCAGTACTGTTAAGGTTTGTGTTAAACAGTATCAGTGTATCATTTTTCTCAAGAGCACAATATAATATTTGAGATTTGGGTCGGACTTTCATTTGGTTGGGTTTCAGTTTCATAAAAGTGAAAGTTTTAGGTTGTGAAACAAAAAAGCAGCTGAATGAAATCAATAAACTAAACAGCTGTAACAGTGACAACAAAATTAGGTAATAGGTAAGACAAAAATATGAAGCTGGTTAACACACACCTGCCCCTACCGATATAAATTAACATCTCGGACTTATTAAGAGCTGGTAAATAACTCATCCTCAGATAAAAACTGATCCCATACAAGTCTTTCTTGGTTTTAACAGGAGTATTTGCTATGATAGTGGAGTCCTTACCTTCCGTAGAGGTGATGGCCAAAGCAAACAGACAGACAACCACAAATGCAACTTTCAGCTCCATGATGACAGAATGAGTGATGGGAAGAAAATCTGTCCTTGCTCTTTAAATACTGCCTCTGATCACACCTGTGCACCCACCCTCCCACAGACAGACGCAAGTGTGTGAACATGTGCTGGAACCGTCAAGCATCTCTCTGAATGCCACATGCTGCAAAACCCGAAGGTAATAAATTGGTGACGCTTAAGTAATTAAAAGGCAGCAAGTTTAAAGTCTTTATGCAACAACAAACTTTCGTTTTGAACCTTTTGTTCAAACTGCTGCTGCTGGATGAGTGTGTGGTAAAGGTATGCTTGACTCCGACGGGCCCCAACAAGTTTAAAAACCACTTTTTAAACAGGATTATATGTGATTGACAGATGTGGAATGAAACTTTGGCAAATGCCACACCCAGAGTCACGAAAGAGAGGATATAGTTTAAGCAATTGAGGTCAAATGGAAACTTAACAAAGATTAAATGGCAAAGGTCTTTAAGCAGTGTGGTCAAACATCAGCGTAGAAAAGGAAGGAAAGATATATTGAATTATATACGGTCTTGGGGCAGATTAGCATGTGTGATTAGTGCAGTGCTCTGTAATGTTTTGATGTTGAAAAAAATAATTATTTTAATAAGCATTTGGGCAGCAGTTTGGAAAGATGATGATGGGAACAAGACTTCAAACAGAGGCACCTGAATCAGCAAACGTGCTTTGCTTCAGAGTCCATGAGCAAGACTCTCTCTGTAGATGGCCCTGACCTTTGACCTCTTTATGGAGGGAAGAGCTAAAAATGTAAGTTATAAATGAGGGCAAATTAATTCTGACATTTGGCATCAAAGTCCAAAAGATTGCATGTATTGATAAATTCCCTCCTCGTTAATAAATCCATGCTGACAAGGATGACAAGATATTATGCTGACCTGATACTGCAGACGCTGCAGCTGTCACATTCGCTGTGTGCTCGGGTGTGGCTTGTCAATCTCTGCCACATTTTGTGCAATTTATCTGAGCGTGCAAACCACACAATATAATTATTGCAGGAAAAAAAATAAAGAACTCCCCAGGGGGATTTTTCTGGTAGCAACATTGAGAGACTGGCTACTTGAGTGCTTGGGAAAAGTTGCTGGTGTGTAAGCAGTTTAAACCAACAAAAGAACACCGTGTTCGTATGATATTTGGTTTGCACGCAACAATAAAAACCTGATCCCATACAAAGCCTTCAAATCACAACAGTTTTGTTTTCTCTTGTCACAACCAGTTTGACCTTGATGTAGTGCTGTCTGACATATTTATTTTTTAAACTTTCAAATCTGGAGCATTTGTTTTCGTCTTTAAAAGAAGCCACTGTGATCTGGTTTGACTGCATTGGCTGCGTTACCCACGGCTTGCTTTCCCCATTTCTCCACGCCCTGAAACACTGGAATAGTCTGCCTCAAGGACTTTGGGGCTCTAAATCTGTTGACGCTGAGTTTTTTTTTCTTAATCATTTTTATGTGATTTTTGTTTTGTCTTGTTTTATCATGCTGTTTTTTTTATTTTCCTTTTTTAGTGTTTTATTATAAATGTCATGATTATGTACTTTAATGTTAAGCAATTTGTGTTGCATTATATACATGAATTGTGCTAAATAAATAAAGTTTCTTTTCATTTATCATTCATCTATTTTTGCTTAAAACCTCTCACCAGTCCCATAAAATTCACCTAAATCCACCTAAATGCCCTATCCAAGGCATTCTTAACATAAATGGAAAGCTGCTCTTGTTCTATTTTCAGTACATGTACATGCATGATCTCATCTGAAAAGAAACAAGTCTTTTCATCAACAGTTAGACTCATTGTAAATGCCAAATCTGTCATTGAGTAATATAAGTCTCGACACCTTTCAATGAAAGGGTTTTTTTGTCTTTTAATCTTCACCTGAATATTTTCTAAAACTGAGCAGGTGGCAGCTTGTATGGTAGCCTTGGCCATCAGTGCGTGAATGGGTGAATGTGACTCATAGTGTAAAGAGTGCTTTGAATGGTCAGACAAGTACGGGTTCATTTACCATAACAAAATCACAGAAAATAATTATTTTACACGTTTTTCTAAGATTTGTTCCGCACTTTTCAGAAAAGAGGGTAAAACAATGTACAGAATGTGTGATTATGAGCGAAAACAAAGCAGCAAAGACAGAAATGTCTGTTTAGTAGCTCAGTGTATATAAAAACACCTCTAGAAAACCCAAACTGATAACAAAAAAAACAGTTTTCTTCTCTTAGGTCTGCAGAGGAGCCATCTGTTGATCATCTCTGCACATTTGTAACAGTCTATGATGATACACAGCCGTGCTTTGGGCATAATGCTAAACACAAAGTAGCTGATGACATTCCCACCACGTCCTGCTCAGCCATTTGGTAGAGCACATTTTAAGTCACTATAACTTAATGAAAAATATGTTGAACTGAACTTAACCTCATTAACTATTGTTTATTCAGGGGAAATTGACTGAGCATTAAGCTCTTTTACAGCAGTGCCCTGAGTTCACATTCAATGGGCTAAAAGGATACAAATATATAAAAGCAACTGCGATAAAGTGAGTAAAGTAGCAGCAATGTCTATCAAGAATTATAAACAGCAATTATAAAACTGTAAAAAGATGAAAAAGTTAAATAATTAAGAATGGAGTCTACCATAAAGGACGGACACATAACAACAAAAGCAAAAACAACAATAAAAACAGTAATATATAGAAAATCCTGTCTGTCAATTAACCACAGCAGCAACACTGTAAAACAACCATATCATCTAGCACACACTTAAAATGATCTACCGACACATGCCTGTCCAATTTAAATACCTCTTGCAACTTGTGCATTTATGTGGAGCGAAAAAGCTAAAAGCAAATTTACAGAGCTCTGTACTGACCTGATTGAGCTATCTCTACCATTTGGTTTAGGCATGTTATGCTATAAAAAAAATCTACTAGATGCCACTGTGTCTTTTAAAAGGCTGCCTTTACAGGAGTAAATGAAAGTAAAAGGAAACGACCAAATTAAACAATCCAAATGGTAACTGGAAATGTTCAACAGTAGAGCACTGTGTTTAAAGGTCCCCTTTAAAATGACAAACATAGGACTTTATGTGTGTAACAGAAAAAGTCATTCCAGACATGACGGTTCTGTGTGGTATGGATTTTCAAAGGTAGGCATATCTTTTCCACATGTTAGTCTCAGAGGTCTAACTGAACAGATTCATGTAAGTTAATACAAAAAATAAAAGTCTAATAAAGGTCGAATACTTTTTTAACAACATGCCCAACCAAACAATTCATTTGTCATTTTACAGTAAAGGTAGTGAGGCTAAGATTATAAATTCACATTTTTTACGGATATTAAAAAATATGAAAAAAATATCAGTATGATTTTTCAACATTTCTGGGGTGTTTAAAAAGCACTGTAATGGTAAATATCTAGAATAAATATGTGGAAATAATACTGCCCCGTGATAGTCAACCTGTCCAGAGTGTACCCCGCCTCTTGCCCATTGTCAGCTGGGATAGGCTCCAGCACCCCGCAACCCATAAGAGGATAAGCGGTTACTGAAAATGAATGAACTAGTACTAAAAATACTACTAATTCCAACGTAAGATATTGATATATGTTAGTATACTAGCATATCACAAGCATTATAACAGTTTAAAGTTTGTAATTTTGATTTTTTTTCTTTCTCTATTACCATTACCATCCCAACCATTTGGTTGGTTGAGGCCTGTATTTAAAAAACTATGGTGTCTGTTAAGAAATAAACATTCATTTTTGTTATTATAGCCTCTAGGAAAAAAGAAACTAAGCTAAGAAAAATTACCCATTGTTTTTTTCTTTGTGAGGATATTAAAGGGTAAATCATAAACCAAAGTATTGGACGTATTAAAATTTGGCACTAGATGAAGTTAAAGTTGGTACAATGCATCCTTAAGAGGGCAGGAATACGTGGCCCAAATTTTAAGACAATCCAGCCAGTAGTTGTTGAAGCATTTACCTTAAAACCACATCATCTTGGTGGCACTAAAGAAAAGTCTACATACATCCTCTGGAACCATGAATTTCTGTACAAAATTTTGTGGCAATCAATCAAATATTGACTGCACTTTCTCTTTTTTGTTTCATTTTCAAAATGTCTGATAAGTAACTCTGCATTTTGCATAAATTATTAAAGGTCATTTCCACTGTAAACAATCAGGAAGTCAAGCAGAAAGTCCTGCTGGGCTCCAAAATGGTGAATGAAATGAAACCCTACACATAATCTGTTTTAAAACACCACTGGATCATGTGAAGTAATATTCATTTACAGTTTGCATTACTCATGTAACATTGGCCAGGGGCAATGCATGCACTGAAGGCTTGTAACGTTAAAAATAAACGCACCAGTCAGACTTATGAGAAATTTCCAGTTTTCCTGAGATGCCACACAGGTGTTGGATCAGTCAAAACTGGTAAATGTCAAAGTATGGGAGGCCCCCGCTTCCTGTTCCAGCTGGATCTGGAGAACACTACAGACAAACTGCCGTCACAGTCCTGGCATGAACATCGACTCTCAATCATCACACACAAAGGAATACAACAATTAGAGCCGAGTTTTTTTCATTTACGCAAACTTGACATGTTGATACACAGCAGAGAGAGCTGTGTGTCTTGAAGGAGATGAATGAAAGGTACGGCACTGATCAACACTGCCAGTTTGTGTTATTGATTCAACCACAGATGCAAATGATTTTAACCAACCATCTTTTCATCTACCTTAGACTCTTCTTTAAAAAGTTCAGCCTCTGTTGTCGCCTCTTGACCCTCATATCAGTGTCAAGATTCATTTTAATTTCCTGTAACTGGATGCACACACACAGAAAACATGCAAGTTTTGTCAGTGATTCATCTCACAGGTATAATAACCTGGAGCATGGGAGTAATGAACACAGACAGCAGCAAGTTTTTTTGGCAGTGATACATTCTGTATTGTTTCTCCGATTGTCAATATACAATTATATCTCTACTACACGAGAACTGCATTGTCATTCGGCTGTTGTACATGGATGTCTGTAATCTCTGATCTCTGATTTATTTACAGTGTTTTCTGCTATGATTCACTTGTTTGAAATGGAGCTCTAAGGTGTCACATCCCCTCATATAGAATACAATTTTGTTTACAGTATGTGCATTAGTATATACATTTCTAAGGTTAGAACAAACATCTACTTTTCATTACCAGTATCATGATTTCTCTCCCCCAGGATCTGGATGACAAAAGCCAATTACTTAAGTTAGAGATGGTTCTCTTTCTGTGACCATCTACACAGAGATATCACAGCAGTAGGGGTTAAGAGAGAACAAAGTTTGACTTGGCATTTTAACAACATTCTGCTGCACCTCCGGGCCCTGAGAAGCCTCCGCAGAGATCAGTATCAGTACTCAGTCTGTCCTCTGGTGGCTACGTGCAGCAGGCGCATCAGCAGTTCTGCAGGTGAGCTCCCTGCAGAGCCGTGAGCCGGATCCGAGGCCTCGGTGTCCCCCAGGCAGTCAGGGTCCACCATGCAGCTCTCTGAGGAGGAGGAGAGGATTTTATTCAAAGTTTTCCAAATCATATTAGTCTTATTAAGGTGTCTGAACATGACAAGCATCAGACTGTACCTGAGTTACAGCAGAGTCCTGAAGCAGCGCAGCGTCCTCCCTCAGAGCCACAGGGTCTCCCTCCTACCTGGCAGGGCGTGAGCAGGTAGTTCTCCTCCACACAGTGAGCTGTTTCAGGGGAGCCCAGCAGGCAGCCAAGGCCCTCCCCACAGCAGATGCTGGGGCCGAAGCAGCGACCCCTGTCTCCGGGGCCACAAGACATGCACTGAAGGAGAATGGGATATATTGGAGCATTAATCAGGTGCTATTGCAGTAAAGATTTCTAACTTCCTTTATTTCCTCACTTCCTCTCCTCCCCATTCCTCAGCACTGATTGGTATCTTTCACCCGCTCACATCTATTTAAACCCTGAGCACCATTTCACTCATTCTTTCTTCATCACATGGGGCGGCATTGCTGGTAGGCAGTTTCCTTCTCTTTAGTTTATCCTGTACATCATAACTTTAAACCTAGAGCATTATCTACCCTTATTAACATGGACACTGAAGTTCTAATTTTGTATTTATTTCTTTCAGATTCAAAACCAATGTGTGTTTGCTCCCCTCTTCATGTTTAATTGCAATTTAAGTTCAGAAATGAACCTTTGTGTGCAGAGAGTTTCAGTGGCTGATGTATTCTGACAGATGCCCATGATAGTTGACCTTTTTGAATGTCCTCCTCCTTAACGGCAATAAATCCAGTGAATTATTGATGGGACATTGCTGTTTTATTTTGGCATTGCACACTCTTCTGATGAAAATGCAAGAGCTTTCACTCTGGTAATGGGCTTGATATAAGCCAAAAAGCTGATTTTTAAATACTGGAAAATGGTTGCATGATTTCTGTTGCAATTTATCTCACGTTAATGTGTGTATTTCTCATGTATTTATTAACTTGCCTTTACACTAGAAATAAAAATGAATATAAAAACAGTTTTTGTTTCCCTATAAGCTACAATACACAAGTTTGTCACACACACATTTTAAAACATGTTTATCTGACATTATGCTCCTGAACAAAGAAAAATAGTAAGAAAAAATTGCTGCCATCTTACACAAACCACAACTTTAAGTTGTTATTGCTATCATAATTGCGTTTTATCATGGTCCTTACAAGATTTTAGTGAGCAAAATGGCTGGGATTGTTCTTATTAGATGTCAAACCAATAAACCATTTATACCAATTTGATCTTAAAAAAGTTTCCCGGATTTTATACTTGCAATTTCCCTGATTATAAACATTGATTTTTTAAGAATTATTTTACAGAGATATTAAGTTCTTAAACTCAAAGGCAGCTTTGGAAATTTACAATCCAAGACATAAATAATAGGGAAGGAAAAACAGGAAAGCTGGGGCTATGATAATAGAAATAATCTAGGAAAGTCAAAGATGATGTCTCAGAAAAATGATGGTCCTCACCTGTCTGATCCCAGTCTCCGGCAGCGCTCGCTTCCCTCCTCTCGGGCAGTTCTGGATGTAACAGGCGGATGAGAGCGTGAGGAGTCCCAGGACGCACAGGGGGAACAAGGAGTGAGGCATCGCTGCTGCTGGTGGTTCTGGATGAGCGCCGCGCACCGGTATGTCCTCTGCCCCGGGTGGATGTGTGACTGATGCCCCGGTAGAGTCCTCACTTATAAGCAGATGGACATGACCTGACAAAGCGACTGACACTCGTATCTGACGTCAGTGTCGTGTTGTTCTGCTCTGCACATGCACGCGCGCCCGAAGGCCACCTGCGTGCGTGTGCGCGCGGAGAGGTCGCGGCAGATATGGCTCTGCATCAGATGTGTGTCATCTAACAAATCTATACAAGCAAACAGCGGCGACAGCAGAAGATGCCTTTTCTGTATTCACGACTGCGCCGCACTTATTTGGAGTAACTTTCCTGAATAATCTGAGGCTGTGCTGCGGACAGCAGGAGGGCACACACTGGAAATGGCAGAACATGAACAATTAATTAGACTTGTGGACAACTAATTACATTTACTGCAATAAGCGCAATGATTAAGTACATTTCATGGTGATCATGCACAATTCAGCTGTCAAGCTCATCCACTGTGAGACAGACATTTTTGACTTTTGTCACACCGAGGGAACTGTCATGACAACCCCAAGGTCACCCAAATTATCCTCCTGATGTAATTTCAAACTATTAATGAGCACAACAAGATTAGCATTTCAAATAAGCAAAAATATGTGAAACTCATTATGCTGTTAGGTGTCCTGTTGCATGCTTTGGGTTGTTTGTCACCTATTAGCTGTTGTGATGCTGATAAACAAGCTAAATGACAAAACTGAGCATCAGAGGCAGCAGGTGTGAAGGAGCACTTTTATTAGCATCACAACATTCAAGCTTTAAGTGTTTCAATAAATATAAAATGTGGCCTTTGCTTTGCTGTACTCTAGAACAGTATGCAATTTAAAAGTTAATCAAAAATCACTTTGAAACTACATTTTTGAAAGTTTGAGGGTGGGCAAGGTGCCTGCCAAGCTGCAGACCACTGCAGGTCATTGTTCAAGACCAAAAAACAACTAAACTGGTTGTGATTCAGTGAGTCATTCCTGTTTTTAGTTGCTTTTGAGCGACCAAATGTTTTGTAGTGCACTGTCCTTTCACTTTTTCAGCAGCTTTTTAGACACAAAAAGTAGTTGTTAGTTCCCAGGACATAGCTTCCTTTTTCTGGGCATGAAAAGCTGTTGTTTTTTAAAGAGATGTCGCTGTTTTCCAGCTGGAATAGTGTCCTAATAAGTGGTTGTTTTTACAGAGACTTTAGCAGCTTTTCACCATTTCCTGCCAGAAAAGTGGCCTGAAAAGCAGCTGTTTTTTACTGAGACATTGCTGCTCATCCTGCTGGGATAATGACCCAAAAAGCTGTTGTTTTTTGGCGAGATGTTGCGACTTTTCTTAGCAGGCTAGTGGTCCTAAAAGCGGTTGTTTTTTTTACCAAGACACTGCAGCTTTTTTAAGGTATGAAAAGCGTTTTTCCACCAAGACAAAGCTGCAGTTCTTGTTGGGATATTGGCCCGAAAGGCAGCGTTTTTTTTTTGTTGTTTTTTTTTACAGAGACATTGCTGCTCATCCTGCTGGGGTAGTCATCCGTAAAGCAGCCGTTTATTACAGAGCATCACTGCTTTTCCTACCGGAGAAATGGCTGTTTTTTTTACAGACGTCACTCCTATACCTGCCAGGAAAGTGGCTGCCAGGAATCACTGCTTTTCCTGCTGAGATAGTTGCCCAAAAAGCGGTTGTTCTTTACCAAAATGTTGCTGCTTTTCTTGGCAGGCTAATGGTCTGAAAACTGGTTGTTCTTTAACATGAACATGCAGCTTTTTTAAGGCATGACAAGCTTCTTTTTTTTAACCAAGATGTCGCTGTTTCCTGTTGGGATAGTGACCTGAAAAGCAGCTGTCAATTACAGAGCATCACAGCTTTTCCTGCTGGAAAAGTGGCACAAAAAGTGGCTTTTTTTTTTTTTTTTTTAGAGCATCACTGCTTCTCCTGCCAGGATAGTGGTCCAAAAAGCGGTTGTTTTTTACCTAGACATTGGAGATTTTTTTTAAGGCATGACAAGATTTTTTATTTACCAAGATGTCACTGTGTGTCCTGCGTTTTTTTTAGAGATATCACTGATGTCTTGGGGCACAAAAAGCTGTTTTTTTTTTTTTTTTTAATTTTTTAACCAAATATTGCTGCTTTTTCTGCTGAGATTGTGCCCACCAAACAAGGTATCTTAAGTCAAAACTTGAGCTTTTTCCAACCACAACCCAGTGTTTTGTATGTTTTTTTTTTTTTTGCTAAACCTAACCACAGCACTGTTGAAACATAAATTTCAACATATCTGCTACATAATAAAATGCAAACGTAACGTATCCTGTAGTTTGCTGAGACGTACAATGCCACATTTTTTTCTGGCAATTGGTACTGACGTATAAAACAGAAAAATAAGCTAATCAGTCAATCTGACAAATCGAGGCTCCACTCCAATATACTGTCAGTATAATTTAAGTGCTTTATCTACCACTTGTAGCTGAACCCGTTAAGCTGACGTCTCCATTTTACATGCAAGAACAACTGATTCAGCCTTTGCTCGTACCGAGCGGATATAGGATCATGACCTTAGTTAAGCTTAATGTTGTCAGGGAAACCAACACATAAATGATGCTGTTTGTGATTGCAAACACCAATGAATTCTGTTTTTCCTGACTTTTTTGTTTTCAACCCTTTTGTGCATGCAATAACAAACTCACAAGAGGCAATTAGAGTGAAGTGTTAAGAGGTAGAAAATGAAAATGTGGGCAAGGACACTCTGAAGGTCTTGTAGCCTCTGCTGGAGGACATTGTGCACATATTTATTTCCTAACACTGCATCTCAAAGGAAAATACAGTAAACAGTAACATAAATAAAGAAAAGAAATAAAACTTGAATCAGAATGTGGTGTCAGATGGAGGAAGTCAGCGGAATAAGAGAAACATGACTGAATAATAGCGATTTTAAAGAAATTCAGCTTGTCAGTGCTGCCTGATAAACACTTGCCATTGTGGGAATTCATGCCAGCGTATTCACTTTAATATTTACTGATCAAAAATGTATTTAAATTATTATTATTAATAATAACTCTCAATAAAACAAAACCTATACCAAGAATGGAATGAATGTTAAGCTGTGAGTGGAGGGGAGGGCTGAGCTTGACCCAGTGTGTTTCCTCACAATGACCACACATCCTTGGGTGAACTTCATTTTTACTTTCATTCTTCTGGCCTCTTGCTCTCAGTACTCATGTCCCTCAACCTTCTCTTTGTGCGTCCTCGACACATCTACACATCCAGCGTTTGTACAAAGGCTGCATAACCAAGGCTGCAGCTACTCAATAAAATGGCTAAGATGCGGAGGAGGGTGGTAGAGAAGAGAACATTTTTCTTTAAACAGTCTTTTACGCAAGATTTTTATAAAGGTCTTTGCTTTGAGTGACATTACAAGTTGATTTAGCGACGTCACAGGTCCAAGAATGTTCTAAGAAATAGTGTGTGCCAGGGCTGACGTCAAAACCCGGAAGTTTAGCATCGCGTTGGTTCCCGGAAGAGAAAGTCAATGTGATTTTTGCATTGCGTTTTGGATTATGTCAGAAAATAAGCTCTGTGGCTAACACAAGTTTATGATACTTACAGGTTTTGTTCAGCTAGATAATCTTCACATATGAACACCTTTCATACCACATTTAAAGCTTAAATACGATTGCCAGAAGTAAAAACTAACCTTAGGCTTTAACGGACTACATGACTACTCCACGATCACATGACTCTTAACGTCACCGCCACTAAGCTTTCAACTGATTTTGGCCGCTTTATTTTAAAAACATTGTATAATGGGGAAATCGGACTGTTTAAGATAAATAAGAAGCTGTAATGGTGGACTGCCAGCACTCTCGCCTGTTCGGGGGTGATGACGTTTAATGTCCCTGACAGGGTTTGTAGTCGTATTGAGCAACTTGTTAGCAACCGCCTTTTTTATGACACGTAAAAGCTTCAAAATTCACAAGTAGGGTATTTACTGACTTGTTTTATGTCTTAGAACAAAATTTGAAACTTTTTTAAGCTTTTGTTAACCACAGACCTTATTTGGGGCATTTTACCAAAATCCCATTCAAAAAACGTATTGACTTTTAGACGAGAGAACCGGAAGTGCTAAAAGTGCTAACGGAGTTCCGGGTTTACTGGCACACTCTATTGGGGCTGGACAATAAATCGATATTGTGATGTGAGACTAGATATTGTTTTAGATTTTGGATGGCGTAGTATCAGTAAATTGGTGTAATTTTCTGAACTTTCAAGACTGTTCTATTATTTGCCTTTAATACTTACACATTACTGATGATAATTTTATTCTACAAAATGGGCTACATGTTTTTCAGTTGCAAGTCAAAGCCACATTTGAGATGTGCACTTTTATAAAAACAGACTGTGATTAAAATAAAATTCAAACTTCAAACTACAACTATCAAGAGGAATGGCGACGTGCAATAAAAAAACGAGCAGCACAGCGCTGGATTGCACTCGTGCTGCGGTGATTTCATTCATCTCAGACTGATTTAGCGTAGCACGTGCAACATACAGACTGATGTCACACTGTAGACAAATTAACAGACAGATTAAACAGCAGAGCAGCTCTGTGTCTCTCTAAGTGTTGATGGAAAACTTCTGAGTGAGTGAGTGGGGTGGAGCTGTGTGGAGAGTGTGAGAGAGGAGAGATGCACACTGGTATGTGTCATGTAACGCAACTTGATCCTATATTGATGTAAACAATAATAACAATTGTCTAAATGTATATCTTTCTTGTAAATATATCGATATATCGTACATAGTCGTTATATCATATTTTCTGTGAAGAAAACTAAATAAAACTGTTATTTTTAAAGTTGACATTATCATTCAAGATATAAATTTTACACAATAAGGGCACAGTGAAGACCTGGACACAGGCTGTATTCACAGAGCTAAACAGTCTCATCCTGCATTAGGAAAGTATACGGTAAAACCAACCAAAGGGCTGATAGAACAATGGCCAAGCATCAGGGAGAAGAAGACACTGAAGTTGTCAAAAAGTAGCTTATTAAGTA